TTTTCGACTAAGCCAACCGTAGGTTACACGAAGTTTTGGATTGTGGAGCGACTGACTCGCCGTAACGCCCGATTTCAGTAGTTATAATTATTAATTATTATATTTTTTGTAAAATAATTAATTTTATTGGTTAAAAAGCATTAAATTATTAATCACCAAATGTCAAATGATCTAAAGTCACTTGGGCTTTGAAATGACAAATGACTGCTCATTTGTCATTTTGGTCATTTATCATCCCTGGTACCAACCTATGCCTACTAATCGATCTACAAATTACCCTGTTGTGATCCAAGCTGAACCACGATCAACTCATTGCCTGACGCAATTCGAGCCCTGCTAACTTGTTGATATTCGGGCCTAGCCTACATTTATGTTTGTAGTGCTATGCTTAACTAGGAGACGATTTAATAAAAACCCTCCCTACAGTATGCTAATAAACAAATGTATTGAAACAATAGTATGTGTGTATGATTCTTTACATATTTACAACTTTGAAAATTTTTCTCAGATTTTATATAGTGAGTTTCAATCGATTTGCATATAAATTCAGAAAAATCTAATTTAATCAATGGATCCTTTGATAAAATGTGTTTTGTTAATCGTTGACCGAATTAATTTCAAGCTTATACATTAAAAGATTGAATTCAAGTTCAATCAAATCCCGTTGCAACATATGTTCAAATATTTAATCAATTTAAATGTTCTAAGTCATTAAATAATGACCGGATTATTTGGTTATTAAGGCCATATAAATTAGTTACGTACAAAATAATTAGCTATATAAAAAAATCAAAATTTTACAGAGTTAATCAAAACATATATATATTAATACGTTTTTGCATTTAACATTTGAATTAAAGAAATTAACTTTTCTTATATAAAAATAAATTGTAAAAGTGAATTAGTAAAAAGGTAACCAAATCAAACAAAACTTTCAAGAGATTTGCAATTGATTATTTTAAACAACTTTAACTAAGCACAAAAAACTAACAACTTTGTAAAATTTCGACTTTTGTATGTAATTACGATTATTAATTATATAAAATTTAATTTTTATCTGTTAACAAAATTTGATTAGTCAAGAAGTATTTATATATCAACCAGCATTAATAATTATCTGGAAGAGTCGAAGGCATTTATTGTTCATATTTTCCAATGGTATCTGTATTATGTACATGTGCATATGCATTTTTTATGAGTATAATGGTGGAATTACATTAACATTATAAACAAACAATTGATACGTAACAGACAAACACATTATATTCGAGATTAATGTCACTTATCAAGAAAAAGCTTTCTAATCCAATATCACAAATAACAATGTATCAAATATTTTTTGTAGTGTACAAGATAACATGTAAACTTCTTATAAAAATGCTAAATAAGCTGAAAAATAGATGGGAAAATATTAAATAAGTTAACTTGCATACAAACACAAAAAGATACTATTAGGCTAGTTATTAAATAAACAAAGACTTTTTCATTTTTACAAGTACACATTTTTTTCGATCAAACAAATCTATAAATTTTATTATTATTATATAAATAAAGAATATATAACAAATAACAATGGAAAATACAAATTTTATAATTAATGTCAAATTTATATATACATTTAAAATTATTTCTCAAATGAAGCTTATTTTATATCTTAATTTTCTCATAATTATTGCATAGAAATTAAAATTAATATAATAAATATTTCATAAGAAGCATAATGCATAGGCGCATAAATATAATTAAAATAATATTCATAAAGCTTAATCTACATATGGTTAGAATTCAATAAAGAATTTTTTTTATATAGGGTAATTAAAACCCATCTCATAAGCGATCAATGCATCGTTTAAATTATCTTGATTTATTGTTGCTGTATTTAATAAGTTAGGAAAGAAAGATACTTCATCGTTTGAATTGACCAAGTTATCTAAAATGGAATTGTCCTGAATATTAAGGATTTCATGTAGATTATGTGAATTTATTTCTGAAATTTCATTGACGTTAGAGTTAACATTAGTGAAATCAACAATTCCCAGTCCATATTGACTATCATATATATGGGACTGGTTTTCACCAATGAACAAAAGGTTATTAAAGATATCATCGTCAATTTGTTGATAATCTTGAATTGGCAAATCAAAATTATTTAGACTAGGAGAATTATCACTACTAGAAGTTATTGATAAGTCGGGACTTGGATAACTATTTTGATTGCTAAAGAAATCTGTCCATTCATTAAATAAATCGAGGTCAAAAATTGGTGAATTTATATCAATATCATTTAAATCATCATGTTTAGGTGATAATAAATTGTTATTAGGAGTAGGTTGAATTTTGGGTGTGGATGATTTAGGTTGTTTATGTTTTGTGGATTTATTGACAGACTTCATAGGTTTAGGAATTCTAACTTTACGAACAGAAGGTTTATCAAATGAAACGGTTTTCCATTGGTCTCTCTTCTTTTGAGATTTTTTTTTAGGAAATAGCTCATTACGATAGTCAGAGGCTTCTCTTGCAATTCTTTTATATTCATTTTTTACTTCTTCTGGTTCTTTCTCCCATGATTTAGATACCATTAAAGAAATAATACTCATTGGCAAGTTATAACCGCTTGCATGAGCAGTTTCAACAAATAATTTTCGATAGATAATAAAAGCATTAGGAGTTTTAGGAACACGACCATCGGGATGTAAAGTAACTAAATCATGTGAGTTAATTTCTGGTGGAAATGGAAGTTTGATAAGCTGTTGAGGATCATCGATCACCTGACTCTTAATCATGGGATCATTTCCGGAATTCATAAAGACGCAAGCACGATTAACAAAGAAGTTAGATTGACATTTGCTCATGTTTAAATTTTCTAGTTATAAGCTTTAATGTTTTAAATATTGTTTTTTTTTGTTTTTATAACTGAAATGTTGGTTTGGAATAAATCTAAATCCCATTTTATTTATATATTTTTTTGCCGGACGTAGGTTTCTAAATTATTACAATCCATTAAGCTTATTTAATTACTACATATGGATATTGTTCGGTTCTCTTGGAATATTTCATCTATTTATAAAATGACGCATTTTGTACACATTATGTAATTGCCCCGCGATTATCCCAAATCGTTCTAAGTGTTCTAAATATAACTTACTAATGGTGTGCTTGGAATTAAATATTTATGCTTCTAAAAAAAAGTGGCGTTATGTCATATCTAAATGCACCGTAATTATGCTATATTGGTGTATCTTGTTACACTCATTAATTTATTTGGTCATGGCGCTCCAAAATGTAAACAAGCATTACGCCACAATTTTTAATTATGAGGCGCTATGTTTTTAAGATCATTTAATGACATAAACTCATGTACCGTCTCGTAAATAAGAAAAAACTTGGAGCTTTCAATTTCATAGAATCATTCTAATGTATACGTTTCATTAAATAACGAAACGTTTTTAATATTGTCAAATATCGTTAGGGATAGCAGGTGACGAGGTTTAACACTGAATAAAAAATCTTTTAAGAAAAATAGTTTTTTTTCCTGACAATTGTTCATGTAATATAGTAAATAGATTTTGGAACTGCTCTTAATTCTCATGTGTAAAAACCGGTCTTAATCGGTTATAGCATATGAGAACTAATATAAAATCGGTTCAAACTCTAATAGTACTTTATGTAGGCTACGTACCATTTTTTGGGGTTTTTTCACAACCGTGCCAGTACGAAGTAAAGTAAAATCATATGTTTATGTGAATCGATAATGCAGTAGTAGTCTAGTTATCCACCACAAATTTGATTGTCGGTGAATTAATTGTCAGTGAATTAAGTGTTGATGAAATGAATATGTCGATAAATTGATTGTCGGAGAAGTGCTGTCTACGAAATGAAATCAGCAGGACCGCAAAATTGTGTATCATGTATTAGGAATGACCCAATAACATACATGAAAACATCCAGATACTTAACAATATTTTTTATTTTTTTATTTTCTTATTCGGTTCTTTAACAAGCTTCACCTTTTACAGGATTTTATTAGGACTACATCCTTCTCAGCAGAGAGGAATCGTCCAAATAAGCAAAAAATTTTTATACTTTATAATACTTTTTTCGAAACCCGGATAGTTTAACTTTCAATAACACGTGAATAACTGTTGCTGATAAACTAACGTTCACAACTTTTTTTGTAATATGATTTACCACATCTTACAAAAATAATTCCATCTATTGGTATAAAGCTTACATATATTTTAGTAAGCATGATAAAACCTTTGTAGAAATGTGTAATTTAATTATGGAACTGAAAGCCAGTCTAACCTTAAAATTTTAATAAATACAAATTGAGTTTGCTAAAGATTTTTTTAGGAAACATGCGCAAATAGCTCGGATGGCTCGGATAGCCTAAATATACATAGAAATGTGAAAGTTCTTTTCAGTTCATGTGCATTACTTTTGAATGGTCTTATCTTTATTCACGAAACATCACTTATTAATGGAAAGGGCATAGCTACGACTGGAAATGATCTGAGAATTAATTATCTAATACTTTAAGATTATTAATTTACATATCTGGGATTTCTACATAGACCTGCTAGGATATCAAGCCTTAACTGATATAATGATTATACAATAACAATAGGAAACGAAACGAACCAAACTTATCATTTTCATCATAATGAATGAAGTGAATTAGTATCACACTAGTTGAAAAGGTGAAAATCAAAACTTTTTTATGCTATTTTAAATTAATTTTTTTGGCTTAATCAACATGATTCGAGGCAAAATTGAAGATTAGTATAAATTAAGTTTCTAATTTCCATCTTTTCGACTAGTATTATAAAGACTAGAGTTGCAGGCAATCGTCCAAACGATTGTCGTAACTTTACTATAACGCGCTGTAACTATCTCTGTAACTATAGAATAAATATAATGAGTGTATGTTACGACACCTCTATACAAGACTAATTATATAGTTTTGTGACGTATAAAAGACAATAATTTTGGAGAAAATTTTGTCGATATCCTGTTGAACGCCTTCAAAATTTTCTAAGTTATAATTATTTTAAATTATTTAAAATTTATATTTTGTTGCTAATCATAACAATACAGTCAGTGAATAATCTGGCAATAAAATAAACTAAAAGTCTTTCATACTATCTCAGACCATGAAAATCAACGGAAATTCGAAATTTTTGTTCCCAAAATTTGTAGAACCTAGATCCTCGTTCAGATCCTCTTCCAGGATCCTTTTCCAGATCCTAGTTCATATTATTTGCCACATAAATCACAAAAAGAAGTAGAGATTTCGACTGAAAATATTGCTAAGAGCTTACTAACCAAATAGAGGAAAAGCAGAAGATGCTTTTATAGAAGAAGTGGTAGATTGGGCAAAAAACACTGGATATACTGATAGATTAGGAGAAAATGCCAAGAGATTAGTAAAGTGGTTGAAAAATGGTGCAATAAGTTTAGAAAAGTGGGAATCTGGTACAGCAAAAAACAATTCTTGCATTTCATGCGAGCAGATAAAAAGTTATCCAATATTAATACAAATTCAACTATCATAAATGAAACTGAAGCAATAGAAACCTTAAAATTATTATATTCGTCAATAATTATCGTAGAAGATACTAGCAAATGTAAATATAACTTGGTATGTATGAATATAAGCAAAGATATTTCTTGTTTACAAAATTCAGGCTTGGGTATCCTTTCTCTATAAGTAATTCAGAGTTTAACTGTTGCTATCTATTGTTATGTTTGCTATAGTATTGTACTTACTGCATAATATCTGGATATTCATATCTTTTTATAGATTTTCTTGTTTATCTTGTGTAGTACAGATGTATTTGTTTTTGTTTTCTAACTTTATTTAGTTGATTGTTTTGGTATGCTGAGTTGTTAAAATTCTTATTATATTGTTATCTTGGTTGTCTATGCACTCGTATTAAGTAGATATAAGAATATTTATAGTAGTGTTGTTGTTTTCTGTTGTTTTCTGTTGTATTAATTTTTAGTTTGTTGAGAGTAGTTTTTATTATTTCTTTAATAATTTGTTTGTAGTGTTAGGGCATCTTGTTCAGTGTTCTACATTTTTGACAGTTTGGGATTGGTTTTAAATTATGTTGATAGTGATATTAACGAGAGATTATATTAAAGTTGACATATATAAGAGTATTTTGATATATAAAAATTTATAAAAATTTGATTTGTGGATTAGGTTGATATTAACGAGGTTGATATTAATGGAGTCGACTGCACTATATATATATTAGGCACTAACTGTTGCTTTGTTTTTTATAAATCATGTTGGATTACTAATATAACAAATAATATTAACATTTTTACCTTTTATTTTATGGAGTGTATAATGTACTAGTCATTCTTAGTTATTTTATTTTTTAATATAATGTTTATATTATTTCTATTAGATATTTGTTTATATATTTTTTAGAAATTATTTGTAACTTAAGTTAGAATTATAGTTTTTACAATATAATAATATGTAAATTGTTGCTTACACAACAAGCATTAAGTTATAAACTGTATAACTAATTTGTTTTTAGGTTTGGTTTGTGTAATAATAATATTATTATTTAAATATCTAAATGTTGCATTAACTTGTATTTTGTTAATTGTTTTACAAAAGTTTAAAGATGCATTTTTTCTTTTTTGTTAATAATGTATTTTAAACAGAGTTGTACTTTGTTATTATTGTTGAAGTTGATCTTTTTAATTCCTAATTATTGTATATACTTTATTAATAAAAAAACTTAGTTAATTCTTCTTTTTATAATGTTTTTGGTTTTTAAAATTTTTTGTTGATTTTACTGTTGTTAAATACTGTAAATAAGTTAGATACTATTGGGTTATTATTTGAAAATATTACTATCTCTTTTATTATTTTTATAATCTATTTATACTATTTTGATTTTTTGTTATACAAAAGTTTTGTATTGTTTATTGCTATCTAATAGTTTATATATTTTTGTAATTAGCAATCTGTTTTATATAATAAAAAACTAGTTGGTTTAGTCTTTGTTTTATTCTATAAGCTAATTTTATCTTATTAAAATATATTATTTATAAATATATTTGATAAACTTAGTAGTTTCAACCAACTATTATTGTTTTATATAGTTACTTATAGTTTATATAATTTGTTAATTATTTTTGTTATAGTTACATTGTTTTTAAATTGTACTACTATATATATTATGTTTTTAATATCAATTTTTAGTTGTTGCAAAAAGTTGTATATTTTACAATTTAATTCTAAAAGTAGTAAATGAAAAGTTTAAATAAGTATTTTGTTCTAAATTAGATTAAGTTCATTTTGATTAGTAATATTAGATATCTTAATTTAAAGTTGTTAAAGACTTTGTAATATTTGTTTGAGTAGTTTTCAAAGTTTTCTTAGAACAGTTTTTTCAAAGAAAGTTTTTACTTGTATGTTGTTTAATAGGATTTGTTTTACTAATAGTTATAGATATGTCAAGAGTAATGATTTTATGATCAGATTTAGATGAAATATTCTCAAAAATATTAGCATAATCAATTTAAAATATGCTTAGATTTGTCTATATTTAGTTAATTCTACTGTTTGAAATTGAGCAAATAAAAGTAAAGTTGTGAATTAAAGAAAAGAAAAGTTAATATATATCTTTAAATTAATGCTAATTTAATATTTAAGAATTTGAGATTCTGGGATAGAAGTGTTTTTAGGAAGATTTTTATTCAAACATAGATTAGAAACATTATTAAAATTACCAAGTATTATTAGTTGATAGTTGAAGTTATTGCATACTTGAATAATTTATTTTTGGATTTCAAAATATAATTGTTTTTCTTTACTATTAGAAGA